GATTTATGTCACGTGAGTTAAGACACTTACGTGACATACTTATTTTTACCTAAACCATGATCTTTTCCTAAAACAAACCAAATAGTATTGGTGCCTAAACCTAACCAAACTGCGATCATCAACCACATGTTTAGCATCATGTGATTTATGTCACATAACTTCTGTAACATACTTAAGGTCCGGTATGCCCCTCACTGGGCTGGTACTTTCCAAAGGTCATATGTCGTTTTGGAACAATTGACAATTTACCCATTTTGTCAATTAAGTATGAGGACATGTTGGAATAATCAGCTCTAGAAATTAATGTTATGTTATATAAAACAACTGTAAGAACCGGTTACATATACATACATTATCCCTAACCAATCACTACCTCATAAGGAATTTAATGTGCTTGACTGATGATGTACCAACAAATACAGAATAATATTGTTCCAATTATCATATCCTTTATCAGTCTCCTTGTGTGGAAAAAAAACAGCAGCTGGTTTATGTAACAGGATAATATAACAATGTTACCAGACAGTTCAAGACACTGATGTGGTTTTATTACATATTTAACAATTTAGAAATTACAGTTATTACATTAACTGGCAGACATTGCATTTCCACAGTGCCTGCCATAGGCGGGAATCTAAGGACCCTTGAAAACCATTAAATAATATAATGATATACTGTATACAAATGCAAACAGGGCAATAAAAGTGCCTTTTAGGTTTAGAAACATTTCGAGTCCTCCCTCCCTAGCCTCACAGTGGTTTGATCCACTGCCTGCTTTCCCTCTTCATCTCACAGGAGAAAACAAGTTCAAATCCTTCAGTACTTGTGGCACCCCAGTAACCTTAAGCAGGCTGGCAAGGTGATTTTATTCACTTGAAACATCGGATGAACTGATTCTTTTGTCTTTAATACAGATGATGCTGAGTCGTTAATAAATTAATCATGACAAAAACTTTTGATTATTTCTGATTATTTTTCCATGAGCCCACTATGTTGTTATAATAGCTACCTATATATTACCTAGCTTGTATGGTAGCTTGTTTAATAACTTGTTGGATTGTACGTCACCTTCTACAGCTAGAGACGCGGTGATTGATCAGCTTGGGACTGAAATAGGCTGGGGTTTTTTCCACTTACACTCGGCCCTGACCATTGACCAAGCAGTGTCAAATATCCAATTTTCTGCCGGTCACATTGAACGTTACAAACATGCTGCAATGTGCCGTGTTTCGTGTGTGCACAGACATTAACCTCATGTCACCGCCACACACAAAGGTATTCACTAGAGTCACGAAGACGCAATGCTCACTATTTACATCGGCAGAGAAACACCCAGAGAGAGATGTGTTCTTGAAGACAACGATGGATATTTTAAAGCAGGGACCAGGTAAAGCAACAGTGAACACAGCTGTTGGTGATGTCGTCATTCATACCACGGTGGTCTCGATCAGTAATTAACAATAAGCCTCCTCCACACGCGGCTTACCTGCTGCTGTGAAAACAGAATCGCGGGTGAAAAGTACGAAACGCAAGTTGTCTTTTATAAAACAGCTGACAAATAAAGTGAGAGCAGACAGAGAGAGAGAGACAGAGAGACACACAGGTGTAGGTGTTTGCATGTGTGTCTGAAGGGAAAAGCAAGGTGAGCAGATTACTGTAGTTTGATTAAACACAAAAAATAAGGTGGAGAATTAAGTAGAATTAAAATGGTGAGATTAGAAATAAGATATGTATTCTTTGAAATATTTTTAAGTAAAATATATTTTAAAATGGCCTACTTTATAGGCTACTGCAATTTATTTTCAGTTGGATTGTAGGCTATAACAGCTCTTTCCAGTGAAAATGCGATTGTTATTTAATAATCAATGTTTCATTATGGCCATACAATTGAATAGACATCAGTGAGAATAGCCAACATTTATAATTGTGCTGATGGGGATGCTCATAAAAATAGATTTTTCCAATAAAACGTTACAAAAATGTTTGAGTATGCTGACAGTAATAGTTCTCCGTTTTCAGGTTCGGCCAAAATCAGAATCGGCAGGTGACACCTTTAAAAAATACAAATAAAAGAAATCAGTAATTGGAATAAGCCAGGAAAAATGTAATCTGTGCATCTCTTACTACAGCTAGCACAGCGATAAGCCTGTGTGTTAACCGTAGATCTACCGCTGTGTTGGGTTTTGCGCATTATGATGTTAAAAGGCATATTAGTTGGCTTGTTGCAGTTACATATCTAAGTAAGAGACGTCCTCCGTCCCAGAAGAAACCTCTATGTAAAGGACGCAAGTTAATTAGGATAATATGACCACATGGTGAACCTATGAACTTAAGTCATATCTAAACAACTATTGCTTTGTGTTGTTGGCCAGAAAAATAGTAGTAAGACTTCCATATGTGTACACGTATCCTATACAAGTACAATTTTGGCTGCATTATTTGTCCCACTCAAAAATTGCTTTTGAGAAATACTGTCCCCCCACCAACTGTTAGCTGAAATTTACACCCATGCCCTGGTCTTTCTTTTAAATCTAAATCATGAAAGCACATCACCTTGACTATGACAGTACAGAGAAGTGACATAACACAAAGAGATAACTACTCTCACATGCACAGTAAGACCATTAATAGACCTGATGCATCATTTAGATTAACCTCAAACAGGGTTGACTAGTCCTGAAGTCGCGCTTACCTCTCAGTCCACACTAATTGACTTGTGCTGGTGAATTTACATTTAACTCCGGCTTTGAATTAGGGAACAGATCCTAAAAAAAATTTATAAAAAAAAATCCACATGGGAAATAGTAGTGGCAAATGAAACCTGTCTTAAGTCTTCCAACCCAGTGTATCAACTGGGATAATCAGCAACCAAACTGATGTATAGCAGACTCATTTATTTTCTATTCTTGGACAAGTAAATTCATTGTAGATTTAATCTCTTCTGTTATTTTGCCCAAACAGCGGGATCTGTAGCCGTTTCTGTTTACAACCAAAACAGTGCAGCACAAGTCATAATATCATACAGAGCAGTTTAATTGCAAGGACAATTATGTTTCGTCTTTCATGGGTGGTTTAATTCATTTTTCGCATGAACACAAAAAACGTGAGGATAACAAAACAAGTCATAACACTCACTGAGTCACATAAACGATAAGACTTTCTGTCTGCAGTGATGTATAGTTAAGACAGTTGCTGCTGCTGCATGTGTTTCATTGCTGAGTGATCTGAGGAGACACTTCCTGAACCAGTATATGTTCATGCTGACAGCTGGGTGGAAGTGGACACATGCAGGAGAAGCAGCTGCTGGTTGGGGTCACATTTGGGATGAAATCGTTTTGCGAATCCTCAAGCTGATTGTTCAATTGACCAACATGTCATCATCTCCCCATTTGACTGATAAAGATATAGAGTACAGCAACTGAAACGGGCAGATTTATCCATTTGTGTCAGCAACCAATACATTTCATTGCATGTTTTCGTCTGTTTGGAGAAAAATTGTGGATAAATTGTCATCCACAATCTGTCCTCCTTTAAGTTAGTGCTAAAACGATTAATTAATAAACAGAAAATTAACTGGAATGTTTAAAGAAGTTTACTGGGCAAAAATATCCCAAAATTTTTGATCCCAGCTTCTCAAAAATTTTGATTTGCTGCTTTCGTTTAATTATCTTTGGTTTGTGGACATTTGTGATAGGCATTTTCACTATTTTCTGACATTTTATTGACAAAATATAGTGTAAACAACAAAGAGAGGAAGTTGGATGTTTGTGAAATCATAAAGAAGCGATGCATTCTTGCCAAATGCATCTTACTGCATTTGGCAAGAATGAATGCAAAGAGTGGGAAGCATCACTTACTGTATCTGAGCTTTTCGCTTGAACATCATTAGAACAAAAACAGACATGAACGGCGTTAATAAGCTGCAGTCAAAATGACGCTGAACAAACAGAAATAAGTTATTTATCTGCTGTATGAACACTTTGAATATTTATAAAGGGTAACAGAATAAAAACACACACGTCATTTAAAGCTCTTCCTCAGAGTTAAGTTATACTAAGATGATTCATTCATTTTTCCCGTTTCATCGCTCTCTGAGTTAGATCTACTTCCTTCTCTTTCTTAGAGTCCATCCATCTGGGATACATCACCAAAATCAGGCCTGATATTAAAACGTCCAGATGACAGAAGCAGGTCAGGGGGCACCACGTTTAGTGACTGTCAACTAAAGGTCAGAACTGGATGAACTTGATCATGTATGTGGTAAATTACATGTAACCCCGTGCACATTTTCTGCACCATAGAGCGGGGCATTATTTAAAAGGCATACAAACAGGTGCTAAAGTGTGAATTCAGAATAGACCACATTTCACTTAATGTAAACATCGTAGTTGGATTATTTAAGCAGTTTCACCTGAATTTTCTTCCTTCCTCATATAGCCTATTTCCTTGACATACAGATTGTCAGTGAATGTTTCTACTGCATATGCATCTTTCAGCAATGTCAAATCTATATTTTAAGGGAGGGCGTGATAAACAGATTTCAGATTGGGCACCATGTATATGCAACTTCTTCCTTCCCTTACTAACAAAGTATTATGTCCAGGTCATGCAACAAAACCCTGTGGCTCAGGTGTTTCCTCTCTGACCGCAGTGAAGGTGGCCAGGAAACTGTCCCTATGGCTCCTTTCATGACACATATGGTTTCTTTTAGACACATCCTCCTTTAACTTCCTCCTTCAGTCCAATGCGCTGCAACAATGGCTGCAGAACCTATTCTACAGTCTGCCAGTGTTACAGAGTAGAGATATTTACTTTCAGTGGAACGAACCATCTGAGCCTTGATTCAAATAGGCCTACTTCCAGATGTTTCAGTCCTTCTCTTCATATATCTGTGAAATGATTACAAGCTGCTGTGGATAAATCTACTCGTCCATAATAAATGACGGATTTCCGTTTTACCCTAGTTTGAATGAGATTGAGTCCGTCTCGAGAGGCTCACTCATTGGAGGAAACTGGATGAGCAACGTAAGCGCTCCTCTTGAATGGGAAAATAGCAGAGGGGGAGAAACGGGCAGACACACACACGCAGCAGGCTGACAGAAGCCAAGCAGCGGCCACTGAGACACACACACACACGGACTGAGACTCTGGATGCAGCCGCAAGAAGGACCTCATTTTAGTTTTTTGGAGTAAACGCATGTTCGTCAGCAGTTGTTGTTTTTTTAATTACAGGATTCGCGTCATTACGAGCCGCGCGCACATTCCTCAACAGGATTTGCATCTCCAATCGCAAATTGTTTTCTGCTCCCTACGAGAGTGTATTTCTAATTTTCCTGCCCAGCAGGAAGCTTTCATAGTCATGCTCGAGCTGCTTCGACTCGCGAAGCGTTTCATCTGAAAACTGTCGTGTTTCCAAAAATGGAACAACAGCTCTCCAAACCAGAATGCAAAAACATGGATGCGTGTCTGAGACGACTGAAGCAAGAACTGGTATGTTGTGTTGGATTTACTCTACTTCTACTATTGCTATCAGCAGTCAAGCATGTTTTTTTCTACTTTATCAATGTACATTTTAAACGTGTAGCATTTTAATGTGCTAATTGGCACGCGTATGGACGCGCAAACAAAAAAAATGATTTCTCATTCAAAATATTGAAAATAGCAAATCAGATTTGTCTTGGCATGTCTGTGTGTCCTCACACATTCTCTCTGATATTCTGGTTTTTAGCTTCAGTTGGGGGTGTATGTGTATTTTTTAAAATCGCATTAATCTGTGTAGGCTTAAAGCTTTGGGCACACCAGAGGCATGTGTACATATCCTCCTCCTCTCTGTCCACGCATCTGGGACAGATGTTTCAAGCTTAATGAGTTCAAGACAGTTTTTCCTGTTCTTTTAAGGGGGACTGCTCTGAGCCTGATGGTTCCAAAAAGTAATGGTTGTAAAAATCACAATATTTTAATGCATTTGTTGCGATAGAGTCGAAATGATCAGTTGATTAATGGAGTAGTTCATCAACAGAAAACTGCTTTGGCAGTAGAGCAACTGTTTGATTTACTTTTTCAAGCAGAAATGCCCAGAAGTTGCTGGTTCCTGCTCCTTAAATGTGAGTATTTACTGCTTGCTGACAATTTAAAGAAAAAAATGAATGATCGATTAATCAAGAAGATGATTATCAGATTTATTGATAAAGATGATAAGTTGCAGCCTCACAAAAGACTGTTGAGGTCTTACTTTAATCATATTGCTAATAATATGTGCTATGTTCATGTATCCCCTCCAAAATGTGTTTGATGGGGACAAATTTAGAGTGCTATCTCTTGCCCCTGTCTTTGAGATGTAAAAACAAAACATGTAAGCTGCACCCTCACACCCAAATTTTTTGGCAGTGACACACTGTAGACCCATTTTCAAAGGAGCTTTAACTGGCACAGATTTCATTTGGAATCCTCTTCAAAGTGCGCACAGTTTTTTTTTTTTCTTTCCATCCAGCCACTGGACCGCAGAAAAGCCTCGCATGGCTGCTTTGTGACTTCTTGATTTGCTTCTCCAAATTAGCCACATGTCTGTGAAGTGGCACTAGGAGTAGACGTCGATGCCAGGAGGACATGTTGTGTTATAGCTGCCATATCACAGTTTGGTAACATAATAGAAAAAGTGTCGTGCCATGCCGGGGATCAAATGGGAGAATGGAGAGCAGATGCCGGTTAAAAAGCCAAGGCAGTCTCCCCCTGCACAGGACCATGTGTGATGCAATCTGTTGTTCAGAAAACAAGGGGTGTCTATGCCAAGGTTGTCACTTTTCTTTCAACTGTGACAGATTTTTACCCAATGCTCACTGGAGAGTGGTAAACCAGCTCCATCTGCAACACAGAGATCACAAACATCTAACAACAACGTACACCTGCGATGCAGAGTCAAACAGTTCTTCAAAACCACTTGTGATTTAAAGGCTGCGATAGTTTTAAAAAGGACCATGCCAGTTGTTTTGCATGTCAATTTACCACAAATCACATCCACCTTTAAGAAATATTTTGTAAATGCTGCTGTGTCAAAGACATTTGTGTGGATTTTCGGTCTCAGGAAGCTATTGGTTTCCATTAATCTCTGTATTGTTTGAAAAATCTGATTGTTTGAAAATCAGTTAGCAGACTGTTGAAACGCTCTTGAGTTATGTAATCCACACTTGATATATAGTTTTGATTCATTCTGTCAAAGTTACATTAGTAACTAAGTAGTTATTGTGATACCACAGCTTAATTCCAGATTGATCTGACTGCACTACATTACCCATGCCACGGTGAAGTAACTTTGACAACAATTACTGCAGACTCGACAACATTCACAACTCAAGCAAGTTTCAGGGAGCCTGATAATCAGACTGAATTGCCATTTCATTTTGTGTGACCTTGTGTTTACGTTTGCTGTTTTCTGTTTGAAAGGAGTGGTTATTTTGCCTAAACTGTGGCCTAATCAGTGAGTAACGTAGCAGTCCAGCTCGACAAGGAAGCTACATTAGTGGTCTCTAAGCGAGGATTTTGCGTTTTTCCACATCAATCAAAAAATGACACTTTTGAAAGTTGCCCTTTCTTTAATTCGGCATAAAAAGAAGTTGCTAATTGATTTTTATACCGTATGGAAATGGATGGACACTCATGACTGCCAGGTACACGTGGTAAAATATATCCAAGACCTAAAACATGACAGCGTGCATTTGAAAATGTTTAGCAGCTTTGTTTAAATAAGGAGCTGAAACTTTCAAAAAAAAAAAAAAAAAGGTCTAATATGGTCCTTTAAATATTCACCTTGATACAGTTCCTTACAAGTACTGAAAGATTTCTCTGAAGAAGAAAATATATCTAGTTTAGTTTGCAGTGTCTGTAGCATTATAGAAATTGAGTATGGCATTCAAAGCCTATGTAAAAGTCAAGTAAATTACAACTGTGAAGTCAGAGCTTCACATAGACACCCTGAACCTCAGTGCACTGACAGCTCTAAAAGACGACGAGTGTCATACGAAAGTGTGCCCACTGTGTCAGGGGTCAGGTGGGTCAGTCTGTGCGGGGTAGTGTTAGGTCACACTTGAACATTTGATCCTTCACCTGGGTGTATTCCTCCTAATGCCCAACCACATCCAACCATGCCAGTGACGCTAAAACTGAAAGCTGGCAGGTTTGTTTTCAAGTCAGGAATGTATCATCATCTTTTCTATGTCTGTCACTGAAAACAGAGTTTGTCAACAGGCTGCTAAGGTTCATTTGTGTCTTTAAAAAGCACTGCAAGGCTCTATAGAAATCCTGAGGATATCATGGTAACAATGAAATATTTTTAAGTTCATGCATGACTCATTATTCATCCAGACAAAGAGTCATGAAAAAAAAACCACAACATAAGCCCTTTCCTGCCTACTTAAGAGTCAAAGACACGAACGCCAACATGCCTTTGAGTCATCTTGTCTAAATGTAAGGTTCACACCTGCTTAACACCGGAATTTTAGACATTAAAGCGTTAGTCAAACCTTTTGGTGTCGTGACTGCTGAAGCTGATTTCATATACATCTCACTCCTTTATCCCTGTGACACCTGGGGCGCATTTCCAAACATGACTGTCACCTTGGAATTCAACAGCAAAGCCGGCAAGCATGAGATCATGAAATCTGAGAAAAATTCACACAGGTGCCAAACCTTCAGTGTATTCGAGAAAGCTTGTGTGCCTCAGCGTATTATGTTCTTTGTTACCTTTAGGGTGTGGGATCAAAAAAACCATACACATAACACAAAGCAGTGTAGTGTGGTCTAACTTTAAGTTTGTTTGTTTGGCGCCTCCCTCATGGTTCCTATTCACCAACCTGCCCTTCCTTCCCCTCAGCTAAAATAGGCCCAGCTCTGGGGTTTTGCATGAGTGATTATTGTGTTTGAGATGGAGCTGCTAACCTTTTCACAAAGCCTGTTTATAATTATGGGAAATTCAGGATTTATTGTTTAAAAAGACAGTTGAGTGATTAATAACGCTGCTGCTGTAACCACACGTGTGACCCCGCTGGTCTGAGATCAAGATGTGTGTCTCTCCTCTCCTCTGTTTGCTTTAATTTGAACAAAAATATGTGGAGTATTTCTCGTGGGTATTTGCTCTCACTGAGATTTAGATCAATATTGTGCTCTCTCGTGTTGTTGTGTCTTTGCGGCCTTCAGATTACATTTAGTCTTACATTATTGCTTTTTCTTTGGCTAAAATAAATTGGACTTTTGGAACTGTTCTGCTGCCAAAGTGGAATATGTGTTGTATAGTGTATCCAAGCACTATATATATGTAACAGAGGCCCATTTACTCCCATTGTATTGACTCAGCACTAGCATAATGTACAAACTTCAAATTTCCAAAACACTCTGTATTCCACACTGCAACAATTGTAAATAAGCACATTAGGAAGACATGTACAGTAAAGTGGATACATAACACATTGCTGTGGGTTTGATAATATAATTCATTAAGGCCTATGGTGGCCCATTCACTCCCAATAAATCACAACTCAGTGAGCTGTCAAATGCTCATAATGCTGCACAAAAACCAAACCACTCGCATGCATTTTCATCAGGAAATGCGTCTCTAGATTTACACTGCTTTTTATGTTAGTCTAAGACGGGGGAGAGTTTCTGAGGTCTCTGCAATGTTAACGTCACACTTGATGTTACAACTGTGGGCGGGAGATATGGCCGTATGCACTTTCACTGCCCACACACACAAGGTGCTGACGTCAACTGCTCCTCTATCAAGCATCTAGCTAACAATTATTGTTTCCAGTGATGATTTTCAACCAGGAAGATAACAGATTGGGTCCCAGACTGTCTCCAAATATCATCTGCCAAAGATGATGACATGGATCCTAATCATCCTGCGTCTCCCACAGCCGGATTGTTTCGGCGTAAATGAGCTGTAGCAGGAAACAAGCTATTAAACCACCTCCCATCTCTGAAAAGGCCGCCAGGGAGTCTTTGCTGGACAGAAGGTCATAGAAGCAGTGATATATTGGTTTAAATTGATTCTGTTTTAAAAAAAGGGACAGTTCACCCATTTAACTATTTCGACTTACCTCTTCTTGACAGTTTGGTTTTATTTGCCAAGCTTTTGGGATATTGGTCTCTGAGATTTCTGATGCAACCCCTATACAACCGAGGATATGCATTGACCTGGATGATCTGGAGTAGAAGTTGCATGCATTAAAAATGCAGGAGCATCGTCTCTATCCAGAAACAGTGTTCCCTTTGCTCTGGATAACCCACAGAACTCGTGAGGAGTTTTCACAGGAACTATATTTTTTGGTAGAAAATAGTTCCAATGAGAAATATTCACACCGACATCTTAATCCAAAAAGTCCTCCAGAATTAATGACAAAATACATAATTTCTTTACTCTAATTCCTTTGGATGTGATACCCCTTTCGGCATGGTGGCATATCAATGGCGTACCTACCCCATAAGGTTTGGTTACATTT